CCTCCCTTAGTCGCAAATTGAATACCCTAAAATAATACATTATTTAAACCTTTTATCAGCACAATTCCTCTTCATGATTGTTACACCACGAAACCACTTCTAGTAAATGTCACCCCTTTGCTTTACTCAGTATTATACTGCTTTTTAAATTACATCGCGCGAGGCTAACGGAACAGAATAGTGTTAAATAATGATATCAGATTTATCCAAGTACTTTCTGAAAGCAGATCAGTTGTGGTGCATCGTGTTCTTAAATGCTGCTCTCCGTTGATAACAAAGGATTGAAATTGAATATGATTTTTTATACTTATATATATATATAGTTCAATAGATTCAGGCAATAAACATTTTATTAATAACGGCAAAGACATTTAAAAATCCTTCATTGTAGATATATCACTATAGATTAATAATCTTTGGTTTTTTCTTCAGTGTGTTTCAGTGTTCTGAAAAAGTTTTTAGCACAATTTAGGTGACAAAATTAAGTAGCTGTTTCCTTTCAAAATGAAGAAAAATATCAACTTTAAGAGATTATTTTTTTTACCTGTATGAATAAATATAATCTTTTTGTGAATTAATAAAAAATGTACCTGTATCTACAACGCATTAACTATTTAATTGTTTCTGTTTTTTCTTCAGGAAATAACTGTTCACCAGTTTAAATAAAAAAATAAAAATCCAAGAAAACTACTGGTAATTCTAGAATAAAAATTATCTAAATAAAAAGAACCAATACTTCGATAATTAATAAGGTATACACACAAATAGAAAGAAAAATTTAAAACTTATTACTTGTGAAAGAAATAGAACAAAATGAAGAGACATGAAATCAATATTTTTTTTTTTTCAGTTCTTAGTAATACCGCAACACTAAAGAAGTTAACACGAAGCGGATTGGTCAGTTACGGTGCGAGTATTAGACCTCTTCACAAATTCGCGGGTGAATATGCTTTGTGTGATTTTAGTTCTTCCGCAACCTAAGGTGGACAGAGGTTATCTTTTCACCCCTGTGCGTGTTTCTCAGCAAGATTTCTTGAAAACGGCTGAATGGACTTGGACGAAAGTTGGTACACATTTAGACTATAACACAACTTAGAAGGGTCAAGGTCAAGTAAATCTAAAAAAATATCCCTATCAGTTACTATGGAAACCGATTTTTTCACACTGTTTTTGCTCTATAACTCAGTCAAAAATGATCGCATGTAGAATATTATTCCTCATTGCTTTACCGAAAATGGCCTGTATCCGTTAATAACGACGCACACGTTTTTTTTGAGAGCCGAATATGATCAATGCTGCGTGGCGGAGGTATGCACTCTGGTGAGTGCTCCTGTAGTTCTATTACTAATAAGATATTCTGAAGTAAAAATATACTTTTATGACAATATTTTAATCCTAATTAAATTTTAAAATATACGGGATACACAGCAGTGGTAGAAGTCCCATTGTAACTGACCAAACCATGTTATGCAAGCTCTCCTTCAGTCAACAATGATCATTGTAGGCTGTAAAGTAATTTGAACATCAAGCAGCTGGAACTTGACAAAACCTCTGTTGTGATACATGAGATAGGATGATTTTCCAACTCATTCTTCTTTTGTTTGTCAGTAAAAAATGATTGATTTTTTTTGCAATATTGTTGAACTGTGCCCTTGATAATGGTGTTGTTTTAAATATTTTTAATCTTGCTTTCACCAGCTATTTATATGTATATCACTTTTTGTCAGTAATATTAGACTGTATTGTTGCTTCCCTGGGCTGGAGTAAAATGATATTAAAAGCAAAAATTGTACTGTTGCCTCCATAGGCTGGAGTGAAATGACAAAAAACAAAAACTGTATTGTTGCTTCCCTGGGCTGGAGACAAATGACATTAAAAGCAAAAACTGTATTGTTACTTCCCTGGGCTGAAGTGAAATGATATTAAAAACAAAAACTGTACAGTTGCCTCCCTAGGGCTGGAATGAAATGGTATTAAAAGTTAAAACTGTACTGTTGCCTCCCTAGGCCGGAGTGAAATGACATTAAAAGCAAATACTGTATTGTTGCCTCCCTGGGCTGGAGCGAAATGACAAAAAACAAAAACTGCTGATTGAAAGATTCCTACAAAGACTGTTGTAAACCGAGATAAAAGTTTGAAATTACCAGACAAAAGGCGGCCAAACTCGAAATGAGTAGACATTAAAACATGTTTATTATTTATCATTTGTTTGTGGGTTAAGTTTCTCCTTCCCTCTTTTGTTCACAAGATAAGAAGTTTAAAACAGAACACATCTTTCTATTTACTTAAGTCAGCTGTAACGTTCTAATTCGAAATAAAAAAAATGGATTTTAAATAAATACTTAAATTACTGATAAATTATCTTGTCGAACGATATGCTGTGTTGGGTTAGTTAGTTTTTAAATTTTAACTGAATTAATATAATCTGAACTAATTATATTAAAAGTTAACGACTGGAAGTAATATATTGACACATTACTTCTAACACCATTAATACATGAAGTAAAAAACAAATTTAAAAAATTACAAAATCATTTGTTTTGGGAGGTTAATGATAGTTTCGCGTATGCGCACAAACAGAAATGTTTATTTGTCAGTTTTCATTTCACACACTTTGTCTGTTTGTTGTTTACCGCAAAGCTACAAAATGGGCCATCTGTGCTCTGCCAACCGAGGGTATTGAATCCTGATTTTTTGCGTTATAATCCCTCAGACTAACTGCTTGTTTTTAAAACTGTGCAAGTGCTTCCTACGGAAATGGAATATTCATACTTTTTTTTTATAATGATATTATGCTAAATCTTAAAATTCGATCATTGAACGAAAAAATTATCTAAGACTGAAATGTTATTTGGGTATATTATTTTGGTCAAAATATGTTTAGCCGAATTTTAAGATTCAGCTAATATATACATATAATGACGATAAAGGAGTTAAAATCTGAATAAAAATAACGTCATATTGGAAAATACGAGTTGGCTTTATAAAAATGGAATTCGATAACATTAAATCTTCGGTAGATTATGTATTAAATAAAACCTTGTTAACAGGTTTGGCTGCCGTTTAATTGTATATGTATTAAATGTACTTTTGCACGTATAAACGTATGCACACATATTTGTGCGTGTTTACATATATTAAATACTTATTAACATGTACATTATCACGACTTTTGGTTTATTTAGAATTTTTCCTTTTAGTTTTGAACAAAATTCATTCCAAATTTTTTGGGAGTAATGTACAATCATTCATCACATGCTATACGTTTATAAAAAATGGAAAAACTTCTCACAGAGGAGAAAACCCCTGGATATCAAATTCCTCGCTGTCTCGAGAACATCCGATTCGTTCTGCGTTTCTTAATCTCACGCGCCAAATCGATTTCTTTCACTATCTCAAAGGCAATACGTGATTAAAAACACTTTTTTTTAACGATTGTTCCAGAACTTGGGCAAAAAGCCAACGCCCAGGACATTATCTTAACGTTATTTCCATCTCTCACAGATAAATGTGAAAATATCGAAACAAAAAAACAAAACGTTTGTTTATTATTTATATGAATTTAAGCACAAAGCTACTCAATGGGCTATCTGTGCTCTGGCCACCACGGGTATCGAAACCCGCTTTCTAGCGTTGTAAGTCCGCAGACATACCGCTGTGCCACTGGGGGTGGGGGCAAAACTAAACGTATCGAAAAGAATCGTAAATAGAATATTATTTTTTTATTGAAAGATGCTTAATATTGGACCATTTTAATCATTACGAATCGCTATTATTCTCATAAATATCCGTTTTAAATACTTCTCAACAAACTTCAATCCATTCCTAGTGGGAATAGTAGTATGGAACGGCATGTTTACTATTTTACATAAATATTAATTAAGAGCTTATTATTTTCCAATTTGAATGACACCTTGTGCAACACATATGCTACATTCTTGGAAAACTGACGTCGTAGTTGAGACTAATTCTTGATTTTGCACCATCTGCCAAATGGCCTATGATACGGATCCTTACCCGAATTCTTTATCCGTTTCACAGGTCTAAAGCTGAAGTTCAAGTTATGTTGGATACTGTGTTCACAACAGGTGTTCTACTGCCTAATACAGATGCCAGGTGTCCCCATTACTCAAGTCCAACTCTTGGATATGAAAAGCTGTCAAAGATATAGGCATAACTTCCAGGGGGGGAATGTGTCCCCAACAGTTTTTTAGTCGTTAAAATACCCTCATTCATACCTCAGCTACAAAAACTGCTCCCTCCCCTCGAAACCAAAGTTACGCCATTAGTCTTAGGCGAATACCTATCTAACCATTCCTTTAAAAAAATGTCGTGTATAATCTGATCGTAGAAATAATTGGAAGATCAATGGACATAAGAAAAATATATATTTTAAAAATAACTTTGCTTCGTTAATCACACATGTATACTTAAGATATTACGTGTTTGTAACTTTTACTCAATGTAGCTTATTTAATAAAGTAATTCAACTGTTCACGTTGCAACGTTTCATGTTAGCAATAGTTTTGGATATTTTTATTTGAAGTAGAATTATGAGTTTTTCTTGGAGTAAATCTACTCATTAGATCACACTTATATCAACAATGTTGTAAGAATATTGTTGTTAAAGTAGAATTATGAGTTTTTCTTGGTTTAAATCGACTCATTAGATCACCCTTATATCAACAATGTTGTAAAAATATTGTTGTTAAAGTAGAATTATGAGTTTTTCTTGGTTTAAATCTACTCATTAGATCACGCTTATATCAACAATGTTGTAGAATATTGTTGTTTAAGTAGAATTATGAATTTTTGTTGGATTAAATCTACTCATTAGATCACACTTGCGTATTTTCATATCAAGTTGTTTTAGAATATTGTTGTTGAAGTAGTATTATTGGTTTAATTATTTTTGTATCAGCAATATTTCCATTGCGTTGTTTAGAACATACATTATCCAACAGTTGTCATACAATGTATGAAAAGAAGCTGACAACGAATCTGGGTAGAAGTATTTTATTCAATCCCACGGACTTTACTATTAAATTAAATCGCACTAACAAGCAACCTTATTCATCTCAATGCAAAAGAAAGTTTGTTTCAGCAGTGGTCGCGTTCCGAGTGAAAAATGTATTACAACTGAACCATTGTGCAGATTTACTATATATATGTTAATAATAATAATAATGGTCAAATGCTGGCGAATTTTGGAAAACACTTATAAACCTGGAACTTTGACATTGAAAATCACGAGGTGTGCTAAACGTGTGCAGCGCATGATTCGAAATTTGTTTATATATTTACGTCATGATGTGGGTTTTTGTTTTTGGAACGACAAATTCCTACTTTACAGTAGTTGACAGAGAATGCTAAATATTCCACAAACAGTACAGTACACTATTACGAGAAAACCTGCGACTAGCAAATATCACGTGAGTTCAAGCTACAAGCACTAATTACACCTTAGATATATACCCGAAGGAAAAAAGGGTGTAAAATCTCACCCTCGAGGGTGATACACCTGAAAGGATGTAGATTCACATCATACATATGAATATGCTGAATTATTTTTGTTCACTTTCACCCTTTGGAGGGTGTTAATGTTTACCTCTTCGCCAACATCGGGTGTTAATGTTGAAATAACACCTTTTATTCTCAAAATGTAACAGATTTTTAAGACCCACCCCTTCATATGGTTTTCTTTACAGCAAGTGCTTCTGGTTCGAACAAACTATCAAGCTAATAAAAAGTTGATTTTGATTTATGTACTCAATCGTTACCCAAGTCTTGATAGCTCATCCAAATGATTTGTTCCCATGAAATGAATTATAATACTTTCTCAAATGAAGCTTAAGTAGATTTTTTAAGGTTAATTAATAACACAGGTCTTGGAACACTTCAGAGTTTGATTTGTGATAGAATATATATATATATATACGGTTATGACATACTTAACTCGAAAAAACATGAAGTGGCCGCTGTATAGTACAGTGTTGGGATGACCGTATCCATGGAAATAAGTTCAAGAAGTCTCTTCCCAAACACTGGGTGATATTAGACAAGAAAGCGACAACCGTGCCAGAACACGAAACAACTGGTCACAGCTGAAGGCATCAAGACAAGAACCATCCGCCCCAAGGACTTCCTGAGCTTTATGGTTTTCGTTCTTGAGCGTGGGTCAGCACGTCTGGGGTCACTGTTTCATGCTTTCATTAACATACTGTGCAGATTACAGGAGAAAGTGCAGGCACTTCCTTAGAAAATTCACTTTCCTTTCGCATTTTATTTATCACTAGTTCATACCTAGTCACTTTTTGAAAAAGTTACACTAGCGACACGTAGTGGAGAAGTTTGATAATAAGCGCAGTCAGCCACATCTTTGAAAGATTCAAAACAGCAGTAGTTCAAGTAACAATGGCACATATGTCTAAATATTAGGATGCGTCAGTACGTCCGATATTCTGGCAAAGCCTGGAGGTCAAATTGGTCATACGCAAGGCTGAACATTGACACCCAAGGCAGCATGGGTTACGAGTCTAATGTGAAAGTCAGTCGACAAGGTAACGTTAGACAAACAACCCACAAACCCTCGCTGGTACTTGTTGAGAGTGTTGTGGACAATATCTTTCATTCCACCTGAAAGAGATAAACAAACTAGTAAATCCGGTGTTAAGCCAAAGTTTAGATGTTTTAAGTAATTCTATCGTCCTGGTTCATCTACGTATAATAAAATAATAATTATCTGTTTACTTTTCTATCTCGTGCAGTTTGTAACTCCTGTTTTATTAAGATGTTTTAAGCAATTCTTTCGTCCTGGTTGATCTACAGATAATAAAATAATAATTATATATATTTACTTTTCTATCTCGAGGGGTAGAATATTTCTATAAATATACCCCCTCCCTTCTCCTCAAAAACATGTCGCCACTCCCAAACACTCTCTTTGGTCTATATTTAACATTTTGAGTATTTTTCATTTCTAGAAAAATTAACTGATTTTTTAAATAATTCGATGGAAAAGCCTCATTACAAAAATATTTCAAAATACAATAAAATATAATACTTGAAAACCACGTATACGTCATATATATATATGTACATCATATAAGTACGATGTGCTTTAAAAAAAAAGTTTGTCCTTGCTCTCTCTCTTCCCCTTCCTTCCTTAAAAAATAATAATTATATTTAAAATCTTCCAAAAAATTCATATGCTTTGAATTATAAATATATATAACTACTTTGTCCTTTTCTATTGTAAATGTGTGTGTGTGGGTGGGGGGGGGGGAGACAAATTATATATTGCCCCACACGGTATGACATATTAATAGGTCGTGATCCCTGTTATCCTCCTGGTGGCGGATCCGTCTAATGAGTAGTACAAGAGTTGGAAATGTTGACTAGTTTAACCTCCCGTTAATCTTTTACTTAAAAATTAGGGACACACAGCCCTCAAGTAGCTTTACGTAAAAATCCAACAAACAAACAGTAGGTTATATGAATTGTACAGTTATCTGTTTATCTCTCAATATTTACTTCTATTTATCTATCTCTCCACTAATACTTCTTAACCTTATTGTTCTTGTAATCTTTAATCATATTTAAATACTTTGTACTCCATTTAACACGTAAATGTGGCAAACGGGGGGACTGCGCTAGCAGGAAGAAAAAATTACAACGATTCCAAACTATTAAAAACTAACAAACACAAAGTAATCGCTTTCATACGTTTACCTAAATAAAGGCCGTTGTTAACATTAAGTTGCTTCAACGAGCCAGCAGAAGCTCCCATTTCTGTCGGACTGTCATCAATAACCAGAGAACCTTCTTGTTCATTCCTGGGTGCAAATCAACAAAGAAAACAAGTAAGTCTTAGGAATATACGAGATAATCGGTCACATATTTTAAAATGTACAGTAAATTAGACTTGGTAGACATTTTTAATATACTAATTTCACACACAGTAAATCTAAACGTCGACATCAATCGGAGAGTGTCATAATACGAAAATGTTAATCGCGGGTTAGGCTTCACACGCACAAGTACTGGGGGATCGACTATCCATCATCAAACGCAAGTTAATGGGAAAATGTGTGTTCTCAGGTTGCACGTTATGGACGCAACCTATCATTATGTGTGATGTAACAATAAAACACGCAAAACTGACACTAGTAATTTTTTATTCTAACCAGTACAATGTAGAATATCCGGTAAGACAGAAGATCGACTTAACTATTAGGTAACAAAGTTTATTGACTTAACATTACTGTTTGGTAAGACAGTAGACTGACTTATTACGTAACGTTTTGGTAAAAAAAAACACGACTGTTTTATATATAAATGTTTAGTATGATAACGAACTGTACACTTACTCAATACATGAATATTGGTAAGACAACTTAACACAATAATATTTACGTGAATATTGAGTTATTCGAATGACTTGAAAAGAAAAGAAGAAGCACGGAGATGTAATAAGGAGTATCTGGTAGAAGAACTGACTTATTTAATACTAATACAAAACAGAACGATAGCATTGTCTCATCTTAAAATACTAGTTTAACACAACAATGCACTTATTTTGTTTAATATAACAATATCTGGTGAAAAGTTTAAGTTACTAACATTATATCCTGAACTACTGGTCAAGCAAAAATAAGCGTATATGTACAGCAGAGAGAGAAAAATGGATTATTATTATACATTATTTCGAACGAACACTTTTTTTTTTAGGTGTTTGTGCCATTAAATCATTACAATTTGGTGTACCCTCTTCACACTGCAAGCTTGCTTTAATTTTTCATTTGAAGTCATGGATATAGCTTACTTCACTTTTGGACGTTTCGAGTTTATAAATAACCACAACATATACAGAACTGAAGAAAGGTGTTTGTCCGAAGCGTTGCAGAAGAGCGGTTGCCTGCAAGTGCATGGTATTTTTTTATGTGTATGCGTGTCTCATGGTAATTTTTTTATATGTGTATGCGTGTCTCAAGGTAATGTTTTTTATATGTGTATGCGTGTTTCATGGTAATGTTTTTTTATGTGTGTATGCGTGTCTCATGGTAATGTTTTCATGTGTAGGCGCGTCTCATGGTAATTTTTTTATGTGTAGGCGCGTCTCATGGTATTGTTTATGTGTAGGCGCGTCTCATGGTATTGTTTTTATGTGTAGGCGCGTCTCATGGTATTGTTTTTATGTGTAGGCGCGTCTCATGGTAATGTTTTTATGTGTAGGCGCGTCTCATGGTAATGTTTTTATGTGTAGGCGCGTCTCATGGTAATGTTTTTATGTGTATGTGTGTCTCATTCGTTTTGCACGTTTTAGTTGAGTAAAACTGATCGCTTTGACTTGGATTGATGGGACTGTGGTCCTATTATGTGTTACACGGGAATGTGTGGTGCGATAATAGTGTTGCCAGGGTCAAAGTTCAGTACAACAACACTTGTTTGTTGAAACAGTACCAGTTTGCAGGACGATGAGCCTACCTCAGTGCCCGAACAGAGTGCCACTTCCCGTCATCTATTCTTGAATTGTTGTGGCTAATAAGAACCTCTCCAGAACCCAGGTTGTAGCGTAGTTGCAGGTAGCCATCTTTAATTCCCAGAGCCAGAAAATCACTAGAAGATGACATTTCTTCGTCTCCTGCCCACATAACTAGTGCATCAGGCGAATACGCCCTGAGACGAAACTGTATGTTGAAGGAGTTTCCTCGAACCCTGAAAACATGCCAAATCAGTACATAAAAGATACGTGCCACTAACAGATTTCGGTTCAACTGAACAAAGTTAATCGGCTGAAAGCACGAGAAAAGATTCATTGAGATATTAGATGTGAAACTGATCATATGTAAAGCTAACCAACAAGTTTCAAGTCATCTACAGAAGATTGAGCAAGTCACGAAAAGCTACTCAGCCAATAAGCTCACAACAAAAAGTCCCTCTTGGTCGTTACATTTTAAGATTAATATAAACCAAATTGTTCAAACCGCTGAATACATTCTATACGTAGTCCCATAGAAAGAAATGAGTGTAACGTTAATGGCCAAATTTAAGGCAATGACAAAGAGAAATGTGGTTAGACTTGGACAAAAACAGAATGAATGAAAGACATCTGATTGCCAATCACTGACTATTCCCGGATAGATTAATTTAAATTGTATGCCAGTTATATATTTTTCATTTTATCTATTATATTAGATCTTAAACTATTTTATCTTGCTCCACAGCTTTTTTTTTTATGTTTGAAGGGGAGAAGAAAAGCAATGTGATTGTTCATTTAGGACAATGGTTCCCAACCCTTTTGTACCGCGTACTCCCAATCGGAGCTTGGAGTCAGCGGCATACACCCGACGCATATAATTTATTAAATAAAAACTTAATAGTGGTTTATTTTGATTGAAATTAAACATAAAGAAATAACTTGAGTCAAAATTACGTGAATATTGAGTGCTGCGTAGGTACTGAAATACGTTGGTAACTCACAGAGACTACCTCCCCCCCCCCCACTTTAAGACAGAGGTTTATTTTCATTTTAATGTTTTTCAAAGGATCTCGCGTACTCCAGAAAGGTCTCCATGTACCCCCAGGGGTATGATACACAAGAGTTTAAAATGTTGGTTTCTCGTTAAGCACAATTATACACAATGACCTATTTGTGCTGTGTCTACCACAGGTATCGAAACCCAATTTTTAGCGTTTTAAGTACTCAGACTTACCACTAAGCCACTGGTGTGGGGCAAAAGAATTTAGCAAGTCTGAATTAAACCGATGTTGTTGTTTTTTGAATACAGTTATAAATATATAACTGTATAGTAACAGTTTGTTTAATAACAAAGAAAAACATAATGAAGAAAGTACGCTATAGAAGTGTGTATGCAAGGTTTGGTTCAAATGCTTGTATTAATTAATACTGTTTACTTAAGATAACACCTTCGTTACGCTTTTTCTTTGAAAACCAAAACTGATTTTGATTTATAGGTGCACTGTTCCAGCCGACCTATCAAAGCTTCATCAGTGTCTTATCATCACATCACGTGTTTTCCTATGGGGTGAAACAGTGGTTCCCAAAATGAAGGAGGGCACTTTCTTTAGCTGGAATATGCTCTCAAAAAATAGGTACATCCTTGAAAGAAAGAAAAACGGGGGGGGGGACATGTCCCCGTGAAAAAAAAATTACGTCTATGGGATAAGATGTTATTTGATAGTAAAATTCTCTTATCCTTGGGTTTGGTACAAGGCTTGTCATTACTTAATGTAAAATAGATAAATAATGATGTGACATTTAAACCGTTATTTTCTAAAACAGATGTAACGTAAGCAGAGACGATTTAGATTAATCAAATAAAGACCGTTTTATAGCAGATCAGTCAAGATCCTAAAATAACACTAAAGTTCTTAGCACAAATATACATACGTACAAACAAGGCCTACCATGGCAGTCAATGTTTTTTTCTAATTTATTTAAAATTATCTGTGTTGCAAACAGATTATTATCGTAGTTTAAAAATACTTTGTTTACTATGAAGCATTAATGAGATAGAAACTCAAACAACTACAGTGGCATTAAGCTCATGCCAACAGAAATGCTCTAACAACCAATTATCCTTTCTGAATAGTTCCCTACCTTTAGGATGTTGAAACTACGTGACTCTTCTACAATTGTTACCAGTAACCAGATCTAACCAGTAAGTTTTAATTCCCTTCCTCTGGTATACTGAAACTACGTGACTGGTTAGATCTGGTTACTGGTAACAATTGGTAGAAGAGCAAGTTGTAACTCTCTTCCTCTGGTGTGCTGAAACCATGTAACTGGTTTTGATCTCATGATGTACAATGACTGTATTTGATTGTCAACCCGAACTCTCTCATACTTACACGTGATGGTTTACACACTTTCAATATCAGGTTTTTTCTTCAGTGAAATATGCAAATGTGGTACCAATTAAGTCTAAACTGAAGTTTCAAAGCAATTTAGTCATTTATGTGTGTTTTCAAAGGGCATTATTCATAACTGAAAGAGGTAAAAGACCACGTTCATTGTACATCCTTACTGTACGTGACGTTCCAGTGGACATTCTGTGCAATGGATATGTGTGCTTCTGTTTAAGCGTCAGGAAAAAATGAAGCACCCAAAACTTAAATACTATTTCACGCATAAACAGTTGTAAACAGAAAAGTTGTTGTTATTCAGAATTAAAAAAAAAAAAGGCAAGAGAGAGAGAGAAAACAAAACGAACATACCGTCTCATGATGTTTTCGTCAAGGTAGTAAAGGTAGCTGTTTCCAGAAAACATCGGCTCGGCTATCATCTCTGTCACCTCTGTATAGAAAATAAACAGTATTTTATATATATATATATACTACCAAAAGTTCCACAACATTTATTTGTAACACAATTGAGAAAATATAAATATATCCATTTGTTTACTTTTCTTCCTCTCTTACTGAAAGTAAATTAACAAAATACTTCAGTATATACCGTATTTTTTCGGTGTATAAGACGCACTTTTTTACCCCAAAATTGGATGTCAAAATCTGCTTGCGTCCTATACACCGAAGGTATGAATAATATAT